AGACGAGTAGCTTCTGAACCGAACCTCCCAATGCGTGGATTTTACAATCAAATCCACTTATAGTGCTGAAGTTCCCCCCGAAGGGGAACATCAAGTTCATTAGTACAGTCATTTTAAAAGTATGTGATCCAAATGGATGTAAATTTTATATGCAATAAGAATACACAAAGCACATTTTTTTAGGCCTAAATATTTTTGTAAAATAATATTTGTGTATACAGTGTATATACATACATTTTATTCCATATGCAATCCTGACACATTCAAAGCCCAGAAAGGTACCAACAACACAATCGGAACATTATGAAGCTATAGCTTTAAACAAGTAACTTCACCAGACATTAAATTTTGCACTTCCTCACCTTTTACCTCTTATTATTAGTTTGTATATGTCACTGACAGATGACAGTTGCTGCCCCCTCTTTCGCCCCTGCCACGTCTACACCTCTGACTTTTGCTGGCAGATATCCACATTCCACACCCAACTCAGTTGCATTTATACATATATCTGAGGTAGACAAATAAAAAGAGGTTTCATGACCATTTATAAGAAATTATGATATATTATAAATAAACAAACAAGCAAATATTAATTATATCAACATAATAAATAATTAATACTATAAATGTATGCTGGTAATAACTTAATCTAACTCATAAACAGTTCCTTAACACAGAAAGTATAATATATCTTAAAATAACAATGTGCAAACTGATTATTTGACAACACCAGCATGAATACATTTCATTTATCGATATCCACCAAAGTTTTAACACCCTAGCCTCATACATTTTTACACCACATTACAGAGCACATTTGCACCCTACCTGTCTCGCTCAGATGTGGAGCTGTTCTGACAAGGAAGACATGTGATCGAGCAATTCAAACAGGATTATGAAAATGACATCATACAGTACAACTTTAAAACTCAATATATTATTTTGAGACAAACAAACAAAAAACAAACATGGCTATATTGTATTCCTAAATGTTTATTATTAGTGCTGTGTTAAAGAGGTATGAGAATAAATATGTGAAATATTAAAATAATTGATAACATTTTCTATTTCCTATGATTAAAAAAAAAGCTATAGTAAAGAAAATGACATTTGGTCATAATAATGAAATAAAAACATCTGAAAATCTCCAACATGCTGGTACATTGTGTTGTCTAAAAGGTAAAGGCCATATAATAAAAATTTAGCTATACTACGCATAGCTGAGTGTAAAATCCTGTAAAAAATCAGGCCAGTCGGAACAACCACCTACTGATACATATGTTGCGCATAGAATCATTATTATGCTCAACCCATTTGATTGACCACAATGTTTCCTAGTAATATTACAACAATGATACTTTTTCTTTTGTTTAAATTTTTTTCTAAGCTTATAATAAACTTACTCTGAAGGATTCTTATTTAGGAAAAGGGTACAAGGAGATTAAGGGTGTCCTCACACTACATCAGAACGGCAGGCACTTTTTTCCAGGGGTTTCAGTACAGCGTAACCGCTACTGCGTCATCGGGTGGGCGTGGCCTATCTGTGAATTTGCATAGGTCACGGATCATGCGCAGATTGTGAAAACAGCCGTTTGATTCAGATACCTGTACGTATTGCAGGGGTTTCGTGTCAAATGCCTTTTATATGCAGTACTAAATAGCTGTCCTGATCGCAGGTGTTTCATGTGAAGTCAGTGAATGTTATATTAAACAAATTAACTTAAGATACCTCTCAGATTACATTAATACTGTTATAACTTAAGATACCTGTCCCGATCCCACGGCTTTTGTGCCAAAAACTTTATATATCATATACAGTAACATCAGATACCTGTCCTGATCCCAGGTGTTTCATGTATGATCACTTTTATATACATTAACATCAGATACCTGTCCTGATCCCAGGGGTTTCATGTATGATCACTTTTATATATATTAACATCAGATACCTGTCCTGATCTCAGGTGTTTCATGTATGATCACTTTTATATTATATACAGTAACATCAAATACCTGTCCTGATCTCAGGTGTTTCATGTATGATCACTTTTATATATATTAACAATAGATACCTGTCCTGATCTCAGGTGTTTCATGTATGATCACTTTTATATTATATACATTAACATCAGATACCTGTCCTGATCTCAGGGGTTTCATGTATGATCACTTTTATATTATATACATTAACATCAGATACCTGTCCTGATCCCAGGGGTTTCATGTATGATCACTTTTATATTATATACAGTAACATCAAATACCTGTCTTGATCCCAGGGGTTTCATGTATGATCACTTTTATATTATATACAGTAACATCAAATACCTGTCCTGATCCCAGGGGTTTCATGTATGATCACTTTTATATTTATTAACATCAGATACCTGTCCTGATCCCAGGGGTTTCATGTATGATCACTTTTATATATATTAACATCAAATACCTGTCCTGATCCCAGGTGTTTCATGTATGATCACTTTTATATATATTAACATCAGATACCTGTCCTGATCCCAGGGGCTTTATGTATGATCACTTTTATATTATATACAGTAACATCAAATACCTGTCCTGATCCCAGGGGTTTCATGTATGATCACTTTTATATTTATTAACATCAGATACCTGTCCTGATCCCAGGGGTTTCATGTATGATCACTTTTATATATATTAACATCAAATACCTGTCCTGATCCCAGGTGTTTCATGTATGATCACTTTTATATATATTAACATCAGATACCTGTCCTGATCCCAGGTGTTTCATGTATGATCACTTTTATATTATATACAGTAACATCAGATACCTGTCCTGATCCCAGGGGTTTCATGTATGATCACTTTTATATTATATACATTAACATCAAATACCTGTCCTGATCCCAGGGGTTTTATGTATGATCACTTTTATATTAGTTAACATCAGATACCTGTCCTGATCCCAGGGGTTTTATGTATGATCACTTTTATATTAGTTAACATCAGATACCTGTCCTGATCCCAGTTGTTTTGTGTATGATGACTTTAAATAAAAATAGAAAATAAATATGAGTTATGTTAATTAACTAAGATCGAGAAAGAAAAATTAACCACGATTTATTACAGAAAATGTGGTATTTATTTGTTTAAACATGACTGAATACCATATTTTAAACTACAAAAACACGGTTAATCTTACCACAACTATTATTATTTGGTTTAAAATGGAAGTACAAAAGCCCAGAGACAGTAAAACGGAGTAAAACGAGGTCAGCCGTTTTTGCTAATGAAATCTTTAAAATATAACATTATAAAACCAAAAAAACAACCTGTATGATTGTTTTTTCCCTCGTTATCCACCGCGGTAGGTTCTTTATCCATTATCATCCTGTTTGAAATGACCGCGCTAAAAAAGAACCTGTACTGCGCATGATCGGTGACCTCTCAGTATTGTTTTTTTTTTAAGGGGGCGTTTCCCAAACACCGACCGAGCCACGCCCATTTTACGTCGTGGTAATGAAACCCCTGGAATTTAGTGCATGCCACATCAGAACTGTGCGCGGGCATGTTTGACCCCCATTTCCTGGTTCGCACGGTTAAGTTGGCCAGCCCAGGCCCAGTTGGAAGTGGTGGTCTGGAGCGTTGTTTGGTTGGGTACGCTTGTAGTGTGAGTGCAAAGCGCGCATGAGCACTGAAGACGTGACGTCACTTTTAAGGGACTTTTTATATGGATTTATTAATCCATATTACTTTTCAATGAACTCGAGCTGTCATAGTTTATTAAAGAACAAACCCCCTGTTGCACAACAATACGTGCAGCACAATGGTTTTCATGAAAACTTTCAAGCATCAAAAGCAATGGATCTGTTCAGCAAAATATTTGACTGTGTGTCATCGCATCCCAAACGACTTCAACAAATGTAAAACTATATAACTAAAGCAATCTCTATTGTACTGAGCGAGAGCGCTAACTGAACAGTCACACCAACAATGACGCAAGCATCCTCCAGCTCAGAACAGGTAAAATTACAGTGTGAGTGCAGGCCGAGTGGGGACAAGCATGCCCAGGCACATTCCAGGACAACCGTTACTAGTGTGAGTACACCCTAAGTCATGTGCCTATATATATATTCTGTTGTTTTACATTTCCAAGTGACATGGACAAACGTCAAATGGTGCATACACCAAAACAATTTTTACAAATTTAAAAGACAAAGCACAGCCCTGTGCAGTGTGGGATGAGCTTCAAGAGGAAGTTGTCAGCCAGTTTATGAAAAAAAAAAAAAAAAAAATATATATATATATATATATATATATATATATATATATATATATGTATATATATATATCTCACACTTCTAGATTATAAATAAACCCCACTATTATTTCAGCTGAAAAGATTTACAGATAATCAAGGCACCTACTCAGTTTATAAAAAATAGATTGACAAACAAAATATCGTTATTTTTTATGTTATAAATAAACATATGAAACTACTTCTGGACAACTATTTCACTTCCATAAGTCACATACACAATGGAGATATCAGTGAAAAATTGTACTTATTGAATCAATTATTTCAAATTAAAAATATAAATGGGGCGACGCAGTGGCGCAGTAGGTAGTGCTGTTGCCTCACAGCAACAAGGTCACTGGTTCGAGCCTCGGCTGGGTCAGTTGACGATTCTGTGTGGAGTTTGCGTGTTCTTTCCGCATTCACTTGGGTTTCCTCCGGGTACTCCAGTTTCCCCCACAGTCCAAAGACATGCGGTACAGATGAATTGGGTATCCTAAATTGCCCAGTGTATGAATGTGAATGAGTGTGTATGGATGTTTTCCAGAGATGGGTTGCAGCTGGAAGGGTATCCGCTGCGTAGAACAAATGCTGGATAAGTTGGTGGTTCATTCCGCTGTGGCGACCCCAGATTGCTAAAGGGACTATGCCGATAAGAAAATGAATGAATGAAAATATAAATCTTGTAATTTAGCTGCACATGATTTTTTTTAAAAACAGAAGTGTTATTAATAATCAGCTTTATTCATTTAAAATATACTATTAAGACAGTATTGCTTGCCAAGAGCGTCTCTTTCTACTAGTGTTCAGAAGTGCTTTAGAAAATGATTGTGTGGTACTCATATCCTGTATAGTGACAAATTTTCCAAAATTCAAAAGTTGTTCCAGATAAAAGCATAAACCTATACTGGTTGTTTTTGAAGTGTTCAAACTGGTGGCTGCTGTAGTTCTGCTTCCGTGCCGCTTAGAGATGTTTGTTGTGTTTGCTCATCCCACTTCTTCAGCTGCTCCAGAGGTCTGGTTTTACAGTCACTCCAAACGAGGACAGTCATGAAAGAAATGCAGAGGAGGGACAGCAGAGCTAAAGCAGAAAGCTTAAATAGAAATAAAGAGAACATGTAAGAAGATAACATATTATTGAACCTTTCCCTTCAGTTTCTGCAACTATTATTAAACATGTGTTCAATCTTTTCTGCACTTAATCTCACATTTATTTATTTATTTTTTTATTTTTTATTTTAAAGAAATGTTACAGTATTTTGCGTTAGACCATTGGTCACATGATTAGAATTATAGTGAGTTATGGCTGTTTTTGTCTTTCTTATTTAGTACCAGTGAGGCTACAATGCATAAAATACTTTCATATCAACATTTGAAAATGTATCAACTTTTTTTCCCTTTCTGTTAAAATGTAAGTGCAGCCACATTAGTACAATCCCAGTAAAATTTTAAAAAATCTATTGACTTATATCGTGCTCAAACTAAGTCTGTGGGCAATGTGGATGAATGTCTGAGACCAACTGAACATGGATGCCAAAATTAACCATACAATATGACTGCAATTCCTTACTAGTTGGTGACCTAATAGCTAATAATTTGTACCATATTATTAATTTCAGTAAAATCTGTTAACATAACTTTTGAATTTTTGCATACAGTACTTTTTATGTTTATATGTTTTTAAGAAGGGAAACTTTAATGGTTAGCTTAAGTCAGGTTTAAGTTTTTTTTTATTTCCCAAATGTTCTCACATTGCACCAAAATCATTCAGCAAGCTCCTTTCTTCTTTTGATCTCCCCACTTATCAAGATAAATGGCATCTGGCATCTGGGAAAGCCAACTCTTCCTGACACAGAGGACAACAGTGAGAAGATCACATGGCTACTTGGTCCACCAGATACATGCAACACCATGTTGTGTTACTGGACAACCATTGTTTGACTCTTTTACCCGTTTGTTAGTCTGAGACACTTCCCAAAAAAGACACTGTAATCTGAATGCTATCTATGCTCATATTACTCAGTCTCTTTCTCCTTATCACTGGGTTCACATATTCATGGATCCAGCCAGTATCCAGAGCAGACGGATGTTATGTTCCCCTTCAGTTGGGGAACTTCAGTGCCATAGAGTGGATTGATTGAAATCCACGAATGGGAGGATTCGGATCAGAAGCCGCTTGTCTGGAGAGTATTGAACGGGCCAATGAATGAAATGAATTGGCAGCGTAAGCTTGCGCAGGTGTGCTGCATCGCCAATTATCCCAGCATATAAGCACACCTGAAGTGAGCAAACGCCATCCTTTTCGCTTCAGATCCTTTCTGAGTGAGTCGATGAGGGTTCCTCTTGCTGTTCAGCACTTCAGAGCGAACGAGTGTCTCCTGGTCCAGAGTGGGTTTTCGCGGCGGCAGACAGTCGAGCTGGGTTTCTCCCTTGCCTGCGGTTCTTTGGGTCCGGTCCTCCAGAGCGGTGCGTATTGTTGCAACTTTCCTATAAGAGCAACACAGTCGTGCAGCACGTCCTTTTCAGGATGGCGCTCAAACTGTGCGTTTCTGGATGCGGGGGTTTCCTGGCTCCGGATGATGGACACGATCACTGCATTGCATGTTTGGGGGTCCAGCATGTTAATGCGGTGCTCGCGGGCGGTTCATGTCATCATTGCGATGCCATGACCGTTGCACAGTTAAGATCGAGGCTAACTTTCGTAAGAGAGAGAGCCACCCCAGTTGCCTCCTGTTCTAAAAAAGCAGCGAGCGCTCGGGCAGATCTGAGGGTTCCAGTGGGAGATAATCCGGCGCCCACGGGCTCGCGGACCTCTCGCTCCTCACGGCGCTCCATCCAAGCTTCGGGTAGTGGGAGTGATCCGTCTAACCAGATGGTAGCTCTCACGCTCGCTGACACCGGAGATCAGATGTCCTCCGCGGCATCGGAGGGTGGGCTTTCACTGTCCGACGAAAATCCGGACCCGCTCACCCCCTCCGGGCAGGTGAGCACCATCAAATCGTATCCTGAAGCGGACATGTTAGTCGTGCTTTCCCGGGCTGCTTCGGCTGTGGGGTTGGAGATGGTTCATGCCCCAGCTCCGCGGCCGGACCGACTAGATGGGTGCTACGTAAAGGACCAGGCGAAGCCTTCGAAGCCTCTCATCCCCTTCTTCCCAGAAGTGCACAGTAGGCTCACGCAGTCTCAGAGGGCACCTTTCTCTGCCCGTGCTGCGTGTCCCTCTCCCCTTACCGCCCTTGACGGCGGAGCTGCCAGGGGGTATGAGGCGATCCCGTCAGTGGAGCGCGCTATCGCGGTCAATCTTTGTCTGCGTGGCGCCTCTACGTGGCAGGGTTTGCCCCGCCTCCCGTCCAAAGCCTGTAGGTTGTCTGCCTCCCTCGGAGCCAGAGCTTATAAAGCGGTGGGCCAAGCTGCTTCTGCTTTGCACGCGATGGCCACCTACCAGCGCTACCAAGCGCAGGCGCTGGCCGAGCTGCACGAGGGCGGGTTTAACCCAGGCTTATTACATGAGCTGCGCACCGCGACCGACTATGCTCTTCGGACTACTAAGTCCGCCGCATGTGTGCTGGGGAGACCGATGTCCACACTTGTGGTTTAGGAACGCCACCTCTGGCTAAACCTGGCCGATATGCGCGATGTTGACAAAGTTCGCTTTCTTGACTCGCCCATATCCTAGGCTACCCTGTTCGGCGACACCGTCTGTGAATTCACCCAGGAATTCAAGGCGGTGAAAAAGCAGTCGGATGCGATGGGCAATGTCATCTATCGGCGTGGCCATAAGCCCGCTCCGCCTGCCGAGCCATCCACCTCTGCTGCTCCTCGCTGAGGGCGCCCGCCAACGAGTGCTGCCCCGCCCCCGCCTGCGCCTCCGGCCAACACCTCGAAAGCAGGCAGCCCCCCTGCCCAGGGTGCCGTTAAGTCCGGCAAACGGACCGCGAAGCGTCCCTGAGACAGGCCATCCGGAGAAGAGGAAACTTGCTCTTTCCCCGCTGGAGGGCGGGGCCCCGATCACAACGGTACTTTTCAGTGCCACCAAAACATCAATCAAAGAGCATTTTTCCCCTTTCCCGGATGTGACAGCACAAATTCTGCCAGTCCAGGACGCGCTGCCTTCCGGCTCGCAGATTCTACGTGCTTCGCCAGTGGCTCACGAGCGCTGGGGGGATGGTCTCCCTTCCCTCAGCCCTCCAGCCCCCTCTCCGGAGTCAGGGTGCGGAGACAGAGCGAATCGCTCTCCTCCAGCTCTTCCGCGGGACCCTCGTGCTTCCCGGATCAGCACACCCACTCCGCGCTGCCCCACCGCTGGTACGTCAGCGATTGTAGCGATGACTCCATTAGCGAGGGGTCTGCCTGCCTGGTTAGCGCGGGCCAGCCCCTCGCGGTGGCTCATACGCACAATCAGACTCGGTTACGCGATTCAGTTCGCGAAATGGCCCCCCAAGTTCACGGGTGTGTATTTCTCCAGGGTCAACCCCCTGTCCGCCCCTGTCTTGCGAGAGGAGATTGCTGCCCTCCTGGTAAAGGTGCAATCGAGCCAGTTCCTCCAGCCGAGATGGAGAGTGGGTTTTACAGCCCATACTTCATCGTACCCAAAAAGAGCGGTGGGTCACGACCAATCCTAGATCTGCGCGTTTTGATCCGCTGTCTGCACAAGCTGCCGTTCAGAATGCTAACGCAGAGGCGCATTCTCCAATGTGTTCATCCTCAGGATTGGTTTGCAGCCATAGACCTGAAGGACGTGTATTTCCATGTCTCCATTCTTCCACGCCACCGCCAATTTCTGCGGTGTGCGTTCGAGGGTCGAGCGTGGCAGTACAAGGTCCTCCCCTTTGGGCTCTCTCTGTCTCCGCGGGTCTTCACCAAACTCGCGGAGGGTGCCTTAGCGCCCCTTCGGCTCGCGGGCATCCGCATACTCAATTATCTCAACGACTAGCTGATTTTAGCCCACTCGCGGGAGCAATTGATTGTGGACAGGGACAAGGTGCTTCGGCATCTCCGCCTACTGGGGCTTCAGGTCAACCGAGAAAAGAGCAAACTCGCCCCCGTGCAGAGGATCTCTTTTCTCGGGATGGAGCTGGACTCCATCAACATGGCAGTGCACCTCTCCGAGGAACGCGCTCGCCTGTTGCTGAACTGTCTGAGGGAGCTCGACAGCAAACTAGTGGTCCCACTGAAGTTCTTTCAGAGGCTCCTGGGGCATATGGCATCCGCAGCCACCGTCACGCCGCTCGGATTGCTCCAGATGAGACCACTTCAGCACTGGCTTCACGATCGGGTCCCAAGACGCACATGGCACGCGGGCACACACCGGGTCTCTGTTACTGCGCTGTGTCGCCGCGCCCTCAGCCCTTGGAACGACCCCTCGTTTCTACAGGCCGGTGTGCCTCTGGGACAGGCGTCCAGCCATGTTGTTGTTTCAACAGATGCTTCCAACTCGGGTTGGGGGGCCGTGTGTCGCGGGCATGCGGGTGCGGGCCTGTGGAAAGGTGCCCAGTTGCATTGGCATATCAATCGCTTAGAGCTGTTGGCAGTGTTCCTCGCTCCCCACTGCTTTTTACCGGTGCTGGAGCGGCAACACGTGCTGGTCAGGACGGACAGTACGGCGGCGGCGGTGTATATCAACCGCATGGGGGGTATGCGCTCTCGCCGCATGTCTCAGCTCGCCCGCCGTCTGCTCCTCTGGAGTCACCCGCGGCTGAAATCGATGCGCGCCATTCACGTTCCAGGCACGCTCAATCGTGCAGCCAATGCGCTCTCACGACAGCTGTTACGCCCTGGAGAATGGAGACTCCACCCCGAGCCTGTTCAGCTGATATGGGCGTGATTCAGGGAGGCCCAGATCGATCTGTTTGCTTCCCCCGAGAATGCTCATTGCCAGTTGTTTTTTTCCCTGACCGAGGGCTCTCTCGGCACGGATGCACTGGCCCACAACTGGCCTCGGGGCATGCGCAAGTATGCGTTTCCCCCAGTGAGCCTGCTCGTGCAGTTACTGTGCAAGGTCAGGGAGGATGAGGAGCAGGTTCTCCTAGTTGCGCCCCTCTGGCCCAACCGGACCTGGAACTCCTCGCGATGGCCCTCCCCTGGCGGATCCCTTTGAGAGAGGACCTACTCTCTCAGTGACAGGGCACCATCTGGCACCCTTGCCCCGATCTTTGGAACCTCCACGTGTGGTCCTTAGACGCAAGGAAGACTTAGGTAACCTACCGACTGCGGTGGTTAATACCATCACTCAGGCTAGAGCCCCCTCCACGAGGCGCGCCTACGCCCTGAAGTGGAGTCTATTCACTGAATGGTGCGTCTCTCGCAGAAAAGACCCCCGAAACTGCCAGATTAGTGTTGTGCTCTCTTTCCTTCAAGAGAAGTTGGACAGCAGGCTGTCGCCCTCCACTCTCAAGGTTTATGTGGCCACCATCTCCGCTTATCATAACGCGGTAGCTGGCGCACCGTGGGAAAGCATAACCTCATCATCCGGTTCCTTAGGGGTGCTAGGCGAATTAATCCATCTCGCCCCCCTCTCATGCCCTCTTGGGATCTCGCCTTCGTTCTCACGAGTTTGCGAGCAGATCCTTTTGAGCCACTCGAATCAGTATCTCTAAGATTTCTGTCCCTGAAGAAAGCTCTGCTGGTTGCGTTGGCCTCCATCAAAAGGGTCGGGGACCTGGAGGCATTTTCAGTCAGTGACTCGTGCCTGGAATTCGGGCCGGATTACTCTCACGTCATCCTGAGACCCCGCCCGGGTTATGTGCCCAAGGTTCCTACCACCCCCTTTAGAGATCAGGTAGTGAACCTGCAAGCGCTGCCCCCGGAGGAGGCAGACCCAGCCCTTTCTTTACTTTGTCCAGTTCGCGCTCTGTGCATTTATGTGGACCATACTCGGAATTTTAGATCATCTGAGCAGCTCTTTGTCTGTTATGGCGGTCGGCAGCAGGGAAGTGCCGTATCGAAACCATGCCATTTCACTCGCTTATTCGAGTCGAGGTCAGCCGTGTCCCCCGGGAGTGCGTGCACACTCCACTCGGAGCGTTGCATCCTCTTGGGTGCGTGCACGCGGCGCCTCTCTAACAGACATCTGTAGAGCTGCGGGCTGGGCGACACCCAACACATTTGCAAGGTTTTACAATCTGCAAGTGGAGCCGGTTTCCTCAAGGGTATTAGGTAACCCTTCGGTGATTGAGGAAACAACTCGTTAGGGTGTTGAGACACGGTTGCTGCGCCATTTTCCCTAACACGGAGATAAGTGCGCCCTTTTTATCTGTCAGTAAAGTTCCCGGTCAGGTGAGCCCTGCAGATTCCTCCGTGGCCCCCAGCACTGACTCAGCGGAGGAGTCACTTGCTGGCCAACTACGTTGTAGGTCTGCCCACTGGTCAGCCCGCGTTTTGGGTATAGGTGCCTGCTATGCGTGATCCCCACTAGGCGATCCCATATGCTTATTCCGCCACGGTTAAGTCCCCCCCCCCCCGGGCGGACCCGTGTCTTCCCTCTCCGCTAACCACTCTTTTGCTATGCGTACTCCCCCTTTTTAGGGCTAGTCCATATGTAAATTCTGCCATCTATCCCCCCTTGGGTAACGGATGGCCTCCGCAGCGTCCTCCCTATCGGGATTGCACGCTTCCCAACGTACTGTCGTATTTGCTAGAGTTATCTAGATGCTCATGACTTCCCAAAAAGTATATCGAAATCCGTAAGACTTCTGTTGAAGTAGGATAAATTAGGGCCAGGGACACGTTGGAGGACCGCGCCTCCCATGATGTGGGTGCGTCACGCTTGCTTGACTATCCCCTCATCGGGGGCGTTGGTAAGGTGCAGTCATTGTGGCGCTTTCCATATTCTCCCATTCATGGCACTGAAGTTCCCCAACCAAAGGGGAACGTTCGAGGTTACAGAAGTAACCCTTCGTTCCCCGAGGAGGGGAACGGAAGTGCCATATTCCGTCGCCATAATGACTGTCCCTTAGCTGTTTGAAAGTCTCTTCAGCTTAAAAGGATGGCGTCTGCTGGCTTCAGGTGTGCTTATATGCTGAGATAATTGCAGATGTCGCACACCTGCGCAAGCTTACGCTGCCAATTAATTTCATTCATTGGCCCGTTCAATACTCTCCAGATAAGCGGCTTCTGATCCGAATCCTCCCATTCATGGCACTTCCGTTCCCCTCCTCGGGGAACGAAGGGTTACTTCTGTAACCTCGAACGTTAGCACTGTTGCATCACAGAAAGAAGGTCACTGGTTCGAGTCCCGAAGTGGCCTGTTGGCATTTCTGTGGAGTTTGCATGCTCTCCCCGTGTTTGCTTGGCTTTCCTCCGGTTGCTCTGGTTTCTCCCACAATTCCAAAAACAAACAAAAATTGTAGTGTATGAGTGTGCGTGTGAATGCGAGAGTGTATGGGTGTTTCCCAGAACTGGGTTGCAGCTGGAAGGGCATCCATCGCTTAAAACATATGCCGGAATAGTTGGTGGATCATTCCACAGTGGCGACCTCTTAAAAAATAAGGGACTAAACACAAGGACAAAGAATAACGAATATAATGGTTACCAATCTCTCCAGACTTTGTTTAAATGTTGGATTACAAGACACTCATGGAGAGTTGAGTCCTCAAAGGGCTACTGTGTGTAGTATTATGTCTAAATTCCTTTAAGGCAAGTCATTTCACTTGGCAGCCATATTTGAAACACCTTTTGGGCAGTATGCTCGGGCATTCTGTCTAAACGGGGAAGAATCAAATTCTCCAAAACTACCTGCCAATCTTACGATTACATTACATATCATGGATAACCAATAATATTAAACAACAACTGTCTCTTTAGTTTCATTTCTAATTTTTTGTATCACACAAAATCTGCAGAAACTCATGTCTAGTCTGAGCCCCTCCCCCAGAGAATTGTCATTCTATAGTGATCGCTGATTGGCTCCTGTACTAGAAGGTGGGGCTTCATTCACCTTATTGACGGTTACACTTCAGCCCATTCAAAAGTATATGAGGGACACATCTTGTGTATTTTACAGTCTTTGATTACGTTCACACTGCAAGACTCAAATCTGCTCAAATCTGATTTTTTATCAGATCAGATTTTTTTTTTTTTTGCATAAGGGTTCACATTGTTGTTGTACATGTGGCCAATATCAGATTTCCAGTGTAAACAGATCCTGATTCTAAACTGACTTGAATGAGCAAAAGTACAACTACGCACAAAACAATTGTGTATAGTGTGAAGTTAATAAATAACATTGTCAGATGGTGTTATATGTGATTATTGATGTTTTCACAGACAACCGCTGTGTTTTTTATGAACTGAATGGTTGTTTTGCTGGTTCTAATGTGCATTTTAGTGTTTTTTGTGATCAAATTGATAATTGTCATTTATGACAAGCATGGTCCTAGTCTCTCTAACCACCGATGTGGAGAACTCATTAAGGGGTAATGCCTCACGCCTGTTTTTCTGTGTTGAAAATGATATTGCTTGCAGAGTCTGATAATCTAGCTTACTGTTAATTCATTTTAATTTGTTATAAACAACATAGGCTGTATCCAGTCAAACTCATACAAGTAAACCTGAAACATTGCCTACCGTTTCATGTAGTTTCATGTAGCCCTATGCACTTTACCATTTTTAAATATGCAAATCGACTATGGTGGTATTTTAAATCTAACTGAAAGAAGCATTGTTTTGGGTTACAGGTTAATGGTTAATGTTTGGTTAATGAGCACTAGCTCAAAATTGACAACCTTTTAAACTTTTTTGGGGTAAACTATTTGCCTGATGTGTAATTCTAAGCTGCTGAGGAATAGAGGATGTTTGCAGGATGAACAAATACAGAATAAAGACATGTGTCAATCAAAAATTATGTAAAAGTCACATGAATTCCTACATATCTGTTCACAGTGCAGTCTGATTGGAAAACATTAGATCTGTATCTGATTTATTACCACTTATGAAAGTGGCACAAATTGGAATGAAAAAAAGATCAGATTTCATGCGGTTTGGGCGGTTCACACTGTCATGTCAAAAACAGTCACATGTGGGGCAAAAAAACCAGATTTGGGCCACATTTGGCTGCAGTGTGAACGCATGGCATCTAAATCCTTATATTTTATATTGACGTTCTTTGATTGGACATGACTGATGTAACCCTAATGGAACTCTTATATGGTCAAAACCTGCAAGCAACTAATTTAACTGCCTGTTTATCTGAAAATAATTGCAGCATGTTAGCTGGCATGATTGTCAAGACAGCCAATTAACTATTGGACCACAACACAACTCAAAAAATTGGCTTTTGACAGTTAGTCAATGATAAACAGAGTGCTCGAACACTAAATGTTTAGTATTTTGGCAATGTGTCCATTTTTAATATACAAAATGCCACTTTTCTGTGGAAAATTACCATGTGGCCAAAACATTTTGATTGATTTCCTTTAGACACTACAGGATGTGTATTCAGATGGCATTTAAATCTGTTATTTATTTATTTATTTGGTGCGAATTCATCCCTGCATTAATAAAATGTCAATGTGTTCAATTGAATTGTTTGTTCATTAAAATGTAGCGTAAACTCACCCTTGAGTAGAAAGTGACCTTTTCAGTCAGTTCTAGCAAGTCGGTTCTGATCGTTTTGTTGTCATTCAATCCACTGGGTTTGCACCATTTAATCTGACGCCCTTCATCCAAAACGTAGTCTCCTTCCCAGTGCGCCAAACCACAAGCCAAATATTCCCCCTCAAACAACAGCAGAAAGATCCACAGTGAAGGAGGAATCAGACAAAATGAAAAGACCTCAGCGGAACTCTGCGATTTACGTTTACAAGGTCTCCGAATGAACACCAACACAGTCAGAGCCAGGAAAGCAGGACCGACGAAGAGGAAGACGATCAGGGTCACGTTGAGACCTGGGTCACACGGGCAAGAAAATTCACGATCCATTAACATTTCCAATCCGAATAATGCAATAGTAAATGGAAATGTGCCAAATCCACTTTTCATCTTTTCCAGATTGTTTGTCATTTGCTCAGGCAACGACATCTTCTCCAGTGCAAGCGCAGTTACTCTGATGATGGTTTGGATATCATCTGATCTATGTAAATATCATCTGCCGTTCCTGAAATGTAAATATTAATAATGAAAGCCGGTTTAACAAGGAATATGACATGCAAAAACACAACAATTGTTTGCATGTTATGCAACAGTACACATTTCAATAACAACTTAACATTTAAAATGGCCAGAAAAAGCATTTTATTTCATAGTTCTTGGTCCAAAATCCCATCAGGTGTATTTATATGCATTTAAACGACAAATGTCCTTCGTTTCACCTTCAAAATCGGCAACCACTACGATTGCGCAGTGCAAGATTGTTTTATTTTATAATAAAAAAAACAAACGCCTCAGTTTCAGCCCAAAGTGAAGACGGACCAATATATTGTGTACATCGTTTTGTATAAAAAAGTTCTACATTTAATACATTTCCAGAAAATACAAGCAAACCGGACATACAAATCAACTATAAAATTATAAAACCTTTTTTTTCCTCCTCCTATAGTTGTGTACATTTGCACAGAGAATGTGATTTTTACATTTGCTCATCAAACATGGCATTACAAGAGTTCCGCGTGAGTGAAAGTGTGTCGTGTGTGACATGAAGTCCTTTTTTTTTTGTAGTCCTTTTAAGTGCTGAAAGACATGTTTTGCAATATGCAAATGAAATGTTTTCAAGTTGTACAGCTTGCAACCGTCGTGGTTTGGTTTCACTTTCGGATTTGACTGCATATTTGAAGCGTCTGGTTAACTTAAAAGATAAACATCGATGAGAAATATCAAAAATAAAATCTGTGATGAGCATAGGATGCATTTATTAAATAAGTGTCTCTTCTTTCTTTTTTCTTCCCCTAATACGGCTAAATGTAAGAGGCAACTTGGGAATATCTAGGCATTGGCGATCGTACCACCAACAGGAAAACATATACATAGTGTGTACGTAAATAAACCTATATAAAATTCTCCTTAAATGTCTTTATGTGTATATAAAGCCTTTTGAGATTGAGCAGCTTTGAATGATTCTCGTTTCATTTAGTCGTGTTTGTGTAGTGCATTTACAAAGTCACAAAGCAAAATACTGCATTGGTCGTTTATAAAAGACGTTTTGGTTGCGACAGAAAAAACAAAACAAGAAAACGTTAAACGAAAATTGGCACATTTATGTGGGACGCAAAGTGAGATTTATGGAAGGTTGTTTATGCCATGAAAATAAACGTTTTCACAATTCTGACTTTTATTGCGTGCTTATATCTTACAATTTTGAGTATAAAATTATATAGTGAGACATAAACACACAACTGTGCGTAAAAAGGTACAATTGTAAGTTAGTATACCACATCTGAGTTTATATCTCATGATTCCGACTGTTGTTATATTAACAAGTTTAAGTCAGAGTAAAATTTAGCAATTGCAAGAAACAAATTCGCTGTTCTGAGAAGAAAACGAACTTGCCATTGCGTATTTATATATAACAATTAACAGCGAAAATAATCAATATGACAAATTGATCCCTTGGAATTTTGAGTTTATTATCACTTTTCAGATTGTTCTCATAATTTTGACTTTACATGTTGCATTTATACGTAAAAAAACAAACAAAAAAACGTAATTGCAAGATATAAACTCGAATCAAGAGTTTGTATAACTTCCGATTCTTAGTTTATATCTTGTAGTTCTGAGTAAAAATGCAATTGTGCGATAAAAACTTGCAATTCTGAAAAAAAATATTCTGTATTTAGCAACTGAGAATTTACTTCATATCTCAGAATTTATAGTCAAAATTCGTAATCGCGAGATACAGATTGCGAGACATTTAAATCTTATCTCAATTCTATTACAATTTTGAATAAATTGTTTTTATATGAGTTTATATTTCGCCAAAAAAAATAAATTTTGTAAGATTTAAATTTTGCGTACAAATTTGCGAACTCAACTTTCATTGCGAGCTTACATCCAAAAATAGTGAGCTTTAAAATCGTTAATCTGAAAAACAAAGGTTCACAATTTTCGTCTACAAGGTCTCAGAATATCACAATTCTGAGTTTACATCTCAAAGTTTAGACTGTTATTATTATAATAATGAGTTTGCGCCTTGCAGTTTGGAGTTAAAATTTGAAATGGCAAGAATCTTGTTATAACCTAAATGCACATTTATTTCACAATTAATGATGAAAAAAAATATAACAGAACATTTAAAATGATAAATTTACATCTCACGATTCTGAGTTTATATCACATTTCAAATGTCTTCTAGTAGAATTACTTATCATTTTGAATCTTTAATTATGTTTGTCTTGCATTTCTAAGAAAAAAAATAGCAACTGCAAAACACAAACTTGAATCAAGAATTCGTATCTCACATTTTTTTATGTATCTTTGTGGTTTATACATTTCAATGCTACCGTCTATATCTTGCAGCAAAAAAAAATTCCACTGTAAGATAAAAATAAGCAATTCTGAGAAAAAAACTGTGAATTTACATCTCTTCAAGTCTCACAATTCTGAGTGAAAAGTCACAACTGCGAGATACAGATTGCGATATATTTATACCTTATTGCAATTCTTACTGCTCTTGTAATTATGATAATAATTACGCAAATAACAATTTCATAATATAAATTCACAAATGCAAAATACAAATTCAGTGCATTCTGTATTGAAAGATATAAACTTGTAATTGTGAGATACAAATTCGCTTACACTTCCGTCGTTTATCAGAACAGCAAGAAATTGTGAGATAAAAAACTCACAATTGTGCCTTTTTTTGACTTATTTTTCAATTACTTATGACAGAAACAGCCTTCCATAAGGATGATTCAACCTGACTGGACATAAAAAAGTATTTTTTAAATACATTTTATACAGATCTTCTATAAAAAACAAACAAACAAAAAACAAAAACAATGCAGGTTGTGGAAAAGTAAGGTTATGCTGCCGTTTCTCGAATGGTCGTGTCCAGTCTCTTTGGGAGTAAATCGCGTCTCATGTCGAGGTTGATGACGGGCTTTCGACAGTGTTGTCCGTCATGGTACATCTTTGAGTAGATGGGGTTGGAGTAGTTCATAGCCTGCAAAATACAAAGTTATAGTTTTAAGTTTGGTTTATATTTAGTTAATAATAGTAAAACGATAGCATTAAAGTGCCCGTATTTTGCTTTCTCAGGATGTTACCTTAATCATTTCTGTTTTATTTTCACTCAGAACTGCCCCAAAATGAGTTTTTAGATTTCACTTTAAATATCAGAAATTCAGATATGCTAATTAGGTTGTTGGTTTTCAAATAAACTAGGCCTTTCTCTGACCAATCAGAGCAGAGTAGATTTTCAGAAAGAAGGGGTTTCAAGAGACTGGATCCTTTTTCAGACACTCTTTTAAAAAATTATGAAAAGATTAAAGACTTTATGACACTGGATGAATTAAATCTGATATAGTAAACTTTTAAAATAGCATAATAGTTGCACTTTAATGCAGTCATGAATGATAGGAATCCACCTGTCCTGGAATCAGCTCCTTTGGAACGTTCTGGATTGGTAAAGTGTGTGCTGTCAAAGGGCGAGCGGGGGGCAAGTTGCGCGGATCGCTAGACTTCACACACCAGCCCTGAAAAACAGCACTGATTCAGCTGAATAGTGCACCAAAAAACTGAACATATACACAAACGTACAGACTGCACTAATAAACTAGACTAAATCAATTGGGGAATTGTAGTCACGACCATAATTACTAATAAAGCAAGAGTTCTCTTATAAATCACTGTTCTGTTTGGAATAATTTTCTACTTTTGCAAACTTAATTGATTTAAAATCTCTGCTCAAAAAGACAAAGTCCTCATGGGAGCACGGCTAAACTAAAGAAACTATGTTTTAGTAAAACAAGCAAAATGAAGAGGTTTTAGAGTTTAGTTGCAACACAATAGAACCCAAGTCTGAGAAATTAAACAAAAAAGATTGCTCTGTGCATTATTAACACCAACATTATTAAATAATTGAACATTATTTAAAATATTATGACCTTGAATCCACAACCCAGTAAACAAGGTTGTAGATTGAAGGTAATAATATTCTAAATAATGGTCATTTTTTGGACAAACCAATTGTTTCACTTCATAAGAGCTCAATGTGTCATCAAAAGCCACAAATATTAATTTTGTGGTAACACTTTACAAAAAGGTTCATTAGTAAATGCATTTACAACATAAACTAATCATTAACAACACATGTACAGCATTTATTAATCATAATTGAACATTTACTAATGCATTATTAACATCCAAGTCTGTGCTTGTTAACATTAGTTAATGCACCATGAGTTAACATGAACTAACAATGAACTACTGTATTTTCATTAACTAACAATAACTAGCATGAACAAATACTGTAGTAAATGTATTGTTCATTATTTGTTCATGTTAGTTAATGCATTAATTAACATTAACTAATGAACCTTATTGTAAAGGGTGACCAATTTTGTTTTGCCCGTAAATGTGACCCTGGACCATAAAACCACACTGTGAAAATAAAATATATGACAAAAAGCTATAAAAACAAATATGTTACTTTAACTCGTTTTAATCAGTTAATCAGGTTTAAACTAACATTTTTTAGTTTAACAAAATCTAACTTCATATTTTTAGTCAGTTTGACTGATTTAAGTTGAGATAAGTTGAGTCCCTTTGATTCAACTTTAAAAAATTAGACAGCAATATATTTTATACAGTGCAGTCATTTCCAGGGTCAGTTTCCAGCAATGCATTATATTAATCAAAAATTAATCAAGTTTTATGGAATTTACAAAAGAAAAGGCACAACATATCGTGATATTCTGATGAAATTTGGCATAAAATAAAAAATAAATAAATAAAAAGATAATTTTGACTCATACATAATATTTTTGTCTCTTCTCTGTTTTTTGACATCCCAGGTGACGAATATATTTTGCTCATATTTACAAATCTTCAAAGACCACAGTTTGAACTAAAAATCTTTAATGTTCTACTGAACACAAAAGAAACAAACAAACAAATGATGACCAGAGAATGAGCAAATGAACTGCAGATTTTCATTGTGGATCTAGAAAATCGTGGTAACACTTAAGATTAGTATTTGTCTTGTACCTTGTGAGGGTCAAGTGTGAAGCTGGGGTGAAGAAAGCTTCCGACGTCTACGTGATTGTCGTGTTCAACTTCATACATGTTATAGGACGGATTCCCGATCTCCACGTTCAAGCCTCCATTGGCCATGGGCTGCCGCTGAACCTGCTTACCTCTGCCAAGGAGTGACATATACATTACTTTTGTGGCAATAGCAGAAACATTTAGCACAACAGCGGACAGTCTGAAGCAATATAAAGAAATCATCTGTGTTATCTTTATGATTAGACACCAATACAGATCATGTGTTTGGATAATTACCTTCGACACCTTTTGCAAATGAGGATTCCCACTGTAACAGCGGTGATGATGCATACGAGAAGAACTAGAGGCACTATTATGGCAATACTTCCTGAAAAGATAACAGATGAAAAAATAAATGAATTTGTATTTTACAGTTTTTGTTCGATCTATCTATCTATCTATCTATCTATCTATCTATCTATCTATCTATCTATCTATCTATCTATCTATCTATCTATCTATCTATCTATCTATCTATCTATCTATCTATCTATCTATCCATCCATCCATCCATCCATCCATCCATCCATCCATCCATCCATCCATCCATCGTATCTGTCTGTTTGTCCGTCTGTTTTACCTATCTATTGTTCTATCTATCATTCTATCTATATTAAATGATTTATAACGAGAATTTAAATGGTCTATTATCTGAATTTCTGTTGGAGAAAACTTAAAAAAAAAACACATAAACAAAATATTCATTACACTCCTATAAATTTTTTGACAGTAATAATATTTAATGACAAATTTGATGCTAAATTGATCAATTTAATGACAAATTCAATATTAATGAAGCTGTTAAAATTATTTGACAGACTATTTACAATTATACTGTGAAATGTGATGAGAAATTTAATTTGTTCCACAAAAAAAACTAAAAAAGAAGATATATTCCTGATATAATAATTCTGCCCTCATGGTTATCATGTTTATGACAGATTTATGACAAGTTTTGTTGAACTGGTAGTCAATGTCAAGTCGTGATGAAAAAGACACTGACAGGTCATGATGTTTTTGTTAATGTCAAGTTTTCATAAGACATCTTGAAGTCATCTTTGCATTTCAATTACATGACTGAGTAAAGAAAACTTAATGACAACTTTCATAAGCATAAAATCTCATTCATATTTATAAAGATATGAAGACAGCTAGGTAAAATGTTTGTCAAAGTTTGTATATTTGTATGCATGATTTTGAACAAGTGTATAATAAAATGAACAAAAAATGTAAACTTTTTCTTTAATTATACTTTATTTCTGATGGAGCTTCTTTAAAAAATGCTTTATAATAAAAACAATGAAGAGAAGAAATTATTACAATGACGACAATTAAGATCGACCTTCTTTAAACTGATGGCTACAGTTTGACTGTTACTGTATGAAAATTTGTGAATGAAAATGTGTCAACAACCAACAGCCAAAACTATATAAAGATTAACATTTAACCCTTTTTTAAAACTTTAGAACCTATTTAAAAACAGAATATTTCACCCAAGTATTATGTGGTCTACATATTTTTTTTTTCTTTCCTTAGTCCTATTAGCTTAGCAAAACATGCTAACAACAAACTACATTGGAATCAACTAAGAAAAGTATTTCTTAATTATTTTGGGAGAAAAAGTGTGTGCGTGTGTGACACTCACTCCCGCTGACATTTTCCAAGCGGTTGGTCTTGGTTGCAGGTCTTTCACACTGCGTTCCTGACCAGTTTCCAGAGCACCTGTGAACAGAGACGCAAAAACAAATACCACAGATTAGTAAAGTCATTGTTTGATTAGATTAGACTTTCAGCAAAAAAAAAAAAAAACACACACATAAACAAATATATTAATCTACAAGCTTAACCACAAAAATTAGTTTTCACTTTGGTTTTTTCTCTACATGATAAATGCATTATTACAGTATCATTTGTTCTATTGGTTTAGCCTTTGACAAGCATGACATCGTGTTTTAATGATAAGCGCTGGGTAAATCATAGGAGGAGGCATAAATGATGCATTGTTTTTACTCTGAGACTCATGCAAGTGCGTGTTTGTGTGTGACGAGGACTCTTAAGATCCGCATGCGTCGACTGAGCGTGAGAGATTATGTGCTTATGAGAAATGGTGACAGGAATGAAAGTGTTGGAAAGCGTGGTTTAATCAAACTTCCTGTGGACACAGATTGTGTTTCCTGCACATGAACACGCTGCTCAGAAACATCCAGAAGAAACACGATGAGGTTTTTTTATTTATAATATCACAACTTCATTTAGAATATGATCATAGTATAAAAATATTATTATAATTTGTTTTATATTAGCTATAATTGACAATTACAAATGCATAATAACAAAATATAAGAATATATTTAATAAACAAAATCTAATAATTAAAATATACATAAAAATACATAATTATATAATCTGATGTTCATTGAATAGCTATAGTAAAATATTCATGAAAAGCTACAAAAGACAAACAAAATGTACACATTTTATTAATGAATACAAAAATACACATAAATTAACAAATAAATAAACAAATAAACAAACAAAACAAAAATATTAATAAATAAATTAATTAACTAACAAGCAAGCAAAAACAAACACAAATAAAAAAATAAATAAATAAAAAGCAAACAAACAAATAAACAAACAAACAAACAACAAATAAATTAAATAAATACATAAATAAAACAGACAAACAAACAAATAAAAACAAACAAACAGAGAAATAAATTAACAAATAAATAAACAAATAAACAAACAAAACAAAAATATTAATACATTAATTAATTAACTCACAAGCAAGCAAAAACAAACACAAATAAAAAATAATAAAAAAATAAAAAGCAAACAAACAAATAAACAAACAAACAAACAACAAATAAATTAAATAAATACATACATAAAACAGATAAACAAACAAATTAAAACAAACAAACAGATAAATAAATAAATAAATAAATAAATAAATAAATAAATAAATAAAAACAGATACATCAATAAAAAGGATAAATAAATAAAACAGATAAACAAATAAATAAATAAACAAATAAATAAATAAAACAAATAAATAAAAACAATAACTAAATTAATAATAGATAAACAAACAAACACAAAAAACAAACAAACAGATAAATAAAAACATAAATAAATAAAACGGATAAATAAACAAAATGGATAAATAAATAAAACAGATAAACAAATAATTAAATAAATAAACATATAAATAAAAAAAATAATAAATAAATAAAAACAATAAGTAAATTAATAAAACAGATAAACAAACAAAAACAAACAAACAGATAAATAAATAAATAAATAAGTAAATAAATAAATAAAACAGATAAATACATAAATAAATAAATACATAAATTGATTAAATAAATAAATAAATATGTAAATAAATAATTAAATAAATAAATAAAACAAACAGATAAATAATAAATAAATACATACATTAAACAAATAAATAAATATTATAAATAAATAAGTAAATACATAAATAAATAAAACAGATAAATAAATAAAACAGATAAAAAATAAATAAAACTGATAAATAAATAAATAAATAAAAAACAAACAAACACATAAATAAATAAAAAACTATAAATAAATGAATAAAATAAATAAATAAATAAATAAATAAATAAATAAATAAATAAATAAATAAATAAATAAATAAATGTCAACCAAAGAAAATATGAAGTGATATTTAGGATGCTGCAAAATGTATTGTAGAGGACCAAAGCACCGTCATCCTTAGCATATGCAGGCTAATAACACTCAGTAATACAGTACATACTGAAGTACTCCAGTCATGGCAAACACACAAAGAGATGAGAGACTCAAACGTCAGCAGCATGACTGCAGAGGGAGATGTGCGTGAATCGTGCTGTCGGAAGCGGTGCGGGACGATACTGTGGTCGTGCTTTTTGGGATGTTCTGACACTGGATGAAGCTGGAGGACCTACTTGCAGCGGGGTTTGTTATAGGCGGTGAGGGAACAAACGCCCTGGTTCTGACAGTAGTGATCGCAAGGGTTTGATCTCTCGTCACACCTCGGGCTTTTAAACTCGGACGGGCAACTGAGGAGAACACGCAACCACACGTGAGGAAAACACAAGAGAAAATACACACACACACTCATTCAAACAGCTATCAGGAACTTCTGTATTTACTGTATTTATGTAATTACTGGGATAAAATAAAATAAAATAAAATAAAATAGCTATCGTCTAGCCCTTACCACTAAATAAACCTTTAGGCTTATAACTGATTTAAAGCACATCCTAAAGTCAAAGCACACATACACACACACACACACACACACACACACACACACATCTTCACACAACTAGATCTTCCATCTAATTTCTTACAAACCATAGACTTAAAGCCCTTTCATCCTCTGAGAGCCATGAAAACAATCTTTAAAACACTGCTGGGAGGGAAAAAAATCATTGATGGGGTGATGTGAAATCAAACAGCTCTCTATAACCCGGACGCACTTGCTCTTCATCTTAATACTCTCATTTTCCAGGTAATCTCTGCATGTCTGGCCACCATCATTACCAACCCTTCACCTTCAGAGAGCAAAGAAAAACACTGAATCATCTGCATGCAAATCCATTCATCCCTGAAGGACGCAATAGAGCTTTCAAACACTCAATGGAGTCCAGAGATGGAAAAAGAAGCGACAATTCCACAGTAAAAAACAACATTAAAGAGTTTACGTCAAGATTTTTTTTTCCAAAAACAGACTTTTGGTTGTGCTTGGCTTGACTTTAAGAGCTGTAAACACATTTATACAAACAGATTAAATGATGGATGTTGTCGTATACCATTCCTTTCAACTATTTTGATGAAAAACCGAGAGATTTGCGCGCTTGTTTTCGCATCCCAATATCTTCAAGGAAGCATCGTTTTCTTAGCTTTGCAGATAAAATGGCAAGAATGGAGACGGCGGTTGAAAAAAAATAATAATCTGTGGGGGTTTATTGTGTGTGTGGACGAGGAAAGTAAAAGCTCCATCGGCGAAGGATTCAAGGCGGCCAGACAAAACTCCAATCATTTGAAGCAGAGAGATGGAGGAGCCATACAATGCCTCAATCGCTCTGTCGCGCCGTCCATCTACCGCCTTCTTTCTTCTCATATGGATATTTTTTTTGTTCGCTTCTTTCAAAGGACAAGAAATTTCGGTCATTTTATGCAAAAAGGATTCAAATGAGTGCAGCTGCCATTAGCTGGGAAATGGTTTCACATTCTGTGCATTTGACTGCCGCCGCCGCTTTCTCTTACGCACTTAAAAGCAGTTATTATTATTATATTTGCGGTTTCTTTTGGTGACATTAGAATTGACACATTTAACATTCCATTCATAATGTCAAGGTTTCTCGCACTTAAAATGCAGCAATTTAGTACTTCACATCATTTTTGAGTGTTTCAGACTGCCTTGCTACTCTACCATTAAAACTATATGCAATAGAACTAAGTTGTGACTTGCTAATGGAGTGTCTAGACTGTTATTAATTGCTAATCGATACTGATTTGCTATTGTACTTTTAAAACTATATGCAAATGTGATCTGTTGTGATTTGCTAATCAAGTGTTTGAGACTGTTTTGGACTGTAGCTTTAAAACTATGTGCAAACTAACTAAGTTTTGATTTGCTAATGGAATGTTCAGGATGTTGTCATTTGGTCGAAACTGATTTGCTACTGTACATTTACAACTATATGCAAATGAGCTCTTTTGTTATTCGCTATAATAGAGTGTTTCAGACTGTTTTGCTACTGTACCTTTAAAATTACAGAAAATGCAAATGAGCTGTTTGGTATTTGCAATAATAAAGTCTTTCAGTCTGTTTTGCCAATGTAACATTAGGGTATATGCAAATGAGCACTGTTGTGATTGGCTATTTGAGTGTTTCAGATTATTTTCCCACTGTATCTTTAAAACTATATGCAAAGGAGCACTTTTTTATTTGCTAATCAAGTGTTTCAGACTGTTTTACTACTGTACCTTTAAACATATATGCCAATGAGCACTGTTTTGATTGGCTAACCGAGTGTTTCAGATTATTTTGCTACTGTACCTTTAAAACTATATGCAAATGAGCTATTTGCTAATTGAGTGTTTCAGACTGTTTTATTACTGTACTTTCAAAACTATATTCAAATAAGATTTGTTGTGATTTGCTAATTGAATCTTTCAGACTGTTTAATACTGTACCTTTAAAACTTTATGCAAATGAGCTCTGGTGTGATTTGCTAATCAAGTGTTTTAGATTATTTTGCTACTGTACCTTTAAAACTATACACAAATGAGCTCTGTTTTATTACTCTACTTTCAAAACTGTATGCAAATGAGCTTTGTTGTGATTTGCTAATTGAACTTTTTAGACTGATAGTTACTGTATCTTTAAAACTATATGCAAATGAGCTCTTTTTATTTGCTAATTGAGTGTTTCAGACTGTTTTACAACTGTATCCTAAAAATGATATGCAAATGAGCGCTGATTTTTTTTCATGCTAGTTGAGCGTTTCGGACTGTTTTGCTACCATACTTTTAAAACTATATGCAAAGAGCTATGTTGCCATTGGCTAATCGAGTGTTTACCCCACAATTGTCCCACACAAAACTTATCATATTGCTTCAAGTTGGGTTGTCACGATACTGGAATTAGGTACCAATCGATATTAAAATTTTAAAAACATCTGTTTCCGCTAACATTTGAGTGTTTCAACATCACTGGAGCGTTTCAAATTCATGTCGATCCGCTGATAAATCGCAGCTTTAAAATGCTCCAGTGTCCCTATATCTGTGGTTACACAGTAAACAGCGATGAGTTTGGTGTACTGATGACCATGACGCCCAATCACAGTCCTTTCTGTTGAGCACGTGAACAAAATGGCAAATCAGCGCTGTTTAAGAATGCGCTCAAATGTTAGTGAGAAATAGACGTTCCCCTTCGGTTGGGGAACTTCAGTGCCATGAATGGGAGGATTTGGATCAGAAGCCGCTTATCTGGAGAGTATTGAACGGGCCAATGAATGAAATTAATTGGCAGCGTAAGCTTGCGCAGGTGTGCGACATCTGCAATTATCTCAGCATATAAGCACACCTGAAGCCAGCAGACGCCATCCTTTTCGCTTCAGATCCTTTCTGAGTGAGTCGATGAGGGTTCCTCTTGCTGATCAGCACTTCAGAGCGAACGAGTGTGTCTCCCGGTCCAGAGTGGGTCTTCGCGGTGGCAGACGGTCGAGCTGGGTTTCTCCCTTGCCTGCGGTTCTTTGGGTCCGGTCCTCCAGAGCGGTGCGTATAGTTGCAAACTTTCCTAAAAGAGCAACACAGTCGTGCAGCACGTCCTTTTCAGGATGGCGCTCCGACTGTGCGTTTATGGATGCGGGGGTTTCCTGGCTCCGGATGATGGACACGATCACTGCATTGCATGTTTGGGGGTCCAGCATGTTAATGCGGTGCTCGCGGGCGGTTCATGTCGTCATTGCGATGCCATGACCGTTGCACAGCTAAGATCGCGGCTAACTTTCGCAAGAGAGCGAGCCACCCCAGTTGCCTCCTGTTCTAAAAAAGCAGCGGGCGCTCGGGCAGATCTGAGGGTTTCAGCGGGAGATAATCCGCCGCCCACGGGCTCGCGGACCTCTCGCTCCTCACGGCGCTCCATCCAAGCTTCGGGTAGTGGGAGTGATCCGTCTAACCAGATGGTAGCTCTCACACTCGCTGACACCGGAGATCAGATGTCCTCCGCGGCATCGGAGGGTGGGCTTTCACTGTCCGACGAAGATCCGGACCCGCTCGCCCCCTCCGGGCAGGTGAGCGCTGTCAAATCGGATCCTGAAGCGGACATGTTAGCCGTGCTTTCCCGGGCTGCTTCGGCCGTGGGGTTGGAGATGGTTTATCCCCCAGCTCCGCGGCCGGACCGACTAGATGGGTGCTACGTAGAGGACCAGAAGGCGAAGCCTTCGAAGCCTCTCGTCCCCTTCTTCCCGGAAGTGCACAGTAGGCTCACGCAGTCTTGGAGGGCACCTTTCTCTGCCCGTGCTGCGTGTGCCTCCGCCCTCACCGCCCTTGACGGCGGAGCTGCCAGGGGGTATGAGGCGATCCCGTCAGTGGAGCGCGCTATCGCGGTCAATCTTTGTCCGCGCGGCGCCTCTACGTGGCGGGGTTTGCCTCGCCTCCCGTCCAAAGCCTGTAGGTTGTCTGCCTCCCTCGGAGCCAGAGCTTATAAGGCTGCGGGCCAGGCTGCTTCTGCTTTGCACGCGATGGCCACCTACCAGCGCTACCAAGCGCAGGCGCTGGCCGAGCTGCACGAGGGCGGGTCCAACCCAAGCTTATTACATGAGCTGCGCATCGCGACCGACTATGCTCTTAGGACTACTAAGTCCGCCGCGTGTGCGCTGGGGAGGACGATGTCCACACTTGTGGTTCAGGAACGCCACCTCTGGCTAAACCTGGCCGATATGCGCGATGTTGACAAAGTTCGCTTTCTTGACTCGCCCATATCCCAGGCTGGCCTGTTCGGCGACACCGTCGGTGAATTCACCCAGGAATTCAAGGCGGTGAAAGAGCAGTCGGATGCGATGGGCAATGTCATCTATCGGCGTGGCCGTAAGCCCGCTCCGCCCGCCGAGCCATCCACCTCCGCTGTTCCTCGCCGAGGGCGCCCGCCAACGAGTGCTGCCCCGCCCCCGCCTGCGCCTCCGGCCAAGCGGGCGCGGCGTACACCTCGAAAGCAGGCAGCCCCTCCTGCCCAGGGCGCCGTTAAGTCCGGTAAACGGACCGCGAAGCGTCCCTGAGACAGGCCATCCGGAGAAGAGGAAACTTGCTCTTTCCCCGCTGGAGGGCGGGGCCCCGATAACAACGGTACTTTTCAGTGCCACCAAAACATCAGTAAAAGAGCACTTTTTCCCTTCCCCGGATGTGACTGCACGAGTTCTGCCAGTCCGGGACGTGCTGCCTTCCGGCTCGCAGACTCTACGTGCTTCGCCAGTGGCTCACGAGCGCTGGGGGGACGGTCTCCCTTCCCTCAGCCCTCCAGCCCCCTCTCCGGAGTCAGGGTGCGGAG